TGCCAGGCGAGGTGGCTCACGCCTGTAATCCTAGCATTTGGGAGGCTGAGGCAGGTGGATTGCCTGAGCTCATGGGTATCAGACCAGCCTGAGCCAGATCGAGACCTCATCTCTAAAAATAGCCATAGCTGGGTGTTGTAGCAAGTGCCTGTGGTCCCAGCTACTCAGGAGGCTGAGGCAAGAGAATTGCTTGAGCCCAAAAGTTTGAGGTTGCTATGAGCTATGACACTACAGTACTCTACTGAGGGCAACAAAGTGAGACTCTGTCTCAAAAAAGAAAAACACTTTTCATTTGGATAGAAAAACCCTTAAACAGCCAAATTTATGTTGGGAATGGAACTTAGTTATACCGTTTCATCCCAGCCCCCACCCTTCACCAGTAACACCTGATTTTTGCCCTTTGACTAATGGTAAAATAATATTCCAACAGTTATTACAAGAAATATTTTTGTCTGTGTCCTTATATTATGTGGGTTTTCCTCCAATTTGCATATTCATGATAATATGAAGCCAAGATTGTTCAGAATTACACTACTCTTTGCCAAGAAGATCTGGTGGTAGAGTGGAGTAATATATCAACACCCCCACACAGTATTTCATATGTGTGCTCAGTTTTAGAGCACAAATTGTGCTTCTGTCTTGTTTCTTCCTGACCCAAGCTATGTAGTTCAGCCATATGTTAAGCTTCATCTCAGCTGGGGCCAGGAGCCAAGTGATTTTTTGGTTTAGTTTCTTGTTTAAAAAGATCTCTTGAGATGCAGATAAGACATATAAAAATGTGTTTTTACCTAGAAATTTGAGAACAATTTTCAGTCTGAATAAAGTAGTGCCCCTTTGACTTTAGGATTCTTAATAAACATGCAAATGCTTCTTAAAGCTTAATACTTTTAAATAATTTTCTCAAAAAAAAAGTCAGGGCTCATGTCTGTAATCCTAGCACTCTGGGAGGCTAAGGTGGGTAAGTCTGAGCAAGAACAAGACCCCATGTCTACCAAAAATAGAAAACAGAGGCAGAAGATCACTTGAGAGCAGGAGTTTAAAGTTGCTTTGAGCTATGATCACACCATCCATGGCACACTACCCAGGGTTACAGAGTGAAACTCAAAAAAAAAAAAAAAAAAGAAAAGAAAGAGGAAAAAAAAATTGAACACACTGGGTACCTTTTTCAAAATATGTTTTGAAAATACATATTAACACCTTTAATATGAGGCGATTTAGATACTAACTTTTTTAAGTTAGCAAATTTCATTTTATTGAATCAGTGATTTTCTAATAAGGTGAGTTAAAGATGCACTTTTCCTCTCTTTTTCTGTTGCATTTTTCATTTAAAGATAGAACATCAGTCCCAAAGCATTAGAAAAATTTATAATCCCACTTAACACAGTATTCTGATTACACATTACTTGGCACCTATTTTATTTATGCATAAAGTAACATTTTGAATTCTGCTCTTTCCATCCTAAAAGTACATACCTAGAATAATAAGCTAATGGACCGTGGGTTTTGATGGCTTTTCTTTTGAATTATGCCTGGAGAGGAGAGGTAATTTCAAAATTAAGAGAATAACAAATCAGGCCAGGAATGGCTGCTGGCTCACACCTATAATCCTAGCACCCTGGGGAAGCTGAGGCAGGTGGATTGCTTGAGCTCAGGAGTTGGAGAACAGCCTGAGCAAGAGCAGGACCCCATCATACAAAAAATAGAAAAATTAGCCAGGTGTAGTGGAGCATGTCCGTGGTCCCAGCTATTCCAGAGGCTCAGGTAGGAGGATGGCTTAAGCCCAAAAGTTTGAGGTTGCTGTGAGCTATGATGCTATGGCACTCTACCCGGGGCAACAGAGTGAGACTCTGTCTCAAAAATAAAATAAAAATAGAATAAATAGCCAGGCATTGTGGTGGGTGCCTGTAGTCTCAGCTACTCAGAGGCTGAGGTATGAGGAGCTCTGGAGCCCAAAAGTTTGAGGTTGGTGTGAGCTATAACACCACAACACTCAGCCCCAGGACGACTGAGTGAAACTCAGTCTCAAAAAAAAAAAAAGAGAGAGAGAGAGAAACTAACAAATTATAACCAAAATGTATTTTTGAATTATCTTTAAAAATAAATGAACATGGGGCGGTGCCTGTGGCTCAAAAGGGTAGGGTGCCGATCCCATATGCCAGGGGTGGCAGGTTCAAACCCAGCCCCGGCCGAAAATAAAAATAAAATAAACTTTAAAAAAATAAATAAATGAACATTATATTATATCTAAATGAATGCTCCTTAAAACCCTGAGAGTGTATGATATTTTTTCTCTAAGTTAGAATCTATATTTAGTACAGTTATATCAGTTTTTAAAAATTGTGGTAAAATAATTTTACCATAAAATTTACTACTTTAACCACTTTTTAGTGCATAGTTCATTGGCTTTAAGTACATTCAAATTGTGTAACCATCACCACCACCCATTTTCAGAACTTTTTCATCTTCCTCTGCTGAAACTCTGTCCTATTAGTGCTAACTCTTGGTTCTCCTTTCTCCTCAGCTCCTGGCAACCATCATTCTATTTTTGTCGTTATGAATTTGACTGCCTCATATAATTGGAATCATACAGTATTTGTCCTGTAGTGACTGGCTTATTCACTTAGCATAATATCTTCAAGATTCATCTATATCATAGCAAGTGTCAAAATGTTCTTCCTTTTTAAGTCTGAATAATATTATTGTATGTATATACCACATTTCATTTATTCATCTGTCCATGAGTACTTGAGTTGATTCTGCCTTTTAGTAATTGTGAATACATTACAGTATCAGTTTTAAAGTAATTTTAAAAAGTACTCTAAAGGTTTTTGTTTATATTTGTTGCTGTTACAGTATTTGAATACAGTTAAGAGTTTAGAATTTTATTTTTCAACTGCTTTTAACATTCAGTTTTATATTATTTACTTTGTATAATACATAATAAAATTTCACCTAAACAGACCTTGTTCTGTCATAACAGCGATATTTTTGGGACATAATTATTTTAAGACAATGTGTCTTCCTAGCTTATTTCTCTTGGTATAATATGAGCATGTGTTCCTCATTTATATTCCAAGAAATTGTCTTACTTTTTCTATGGTAAAACAATAAAAATAAACAGGATTATTGCAGAAAGTTTGGGAACTATAGGTAAGATTTACCTTGTGATAGCAGTTGTTAACTTTTTTTAAAATTAAATCATAGCTGTGTATGTTAATACAGTCATGGGGTACAATGTGCTCATTTTATATACAATTTGAAATATTTTCATCAAACTGGTTAACATAGCCTTCATGGCATTTTCTTAGTTAATTGTGTTAAGACAGTTGTTAACTTTTTGATTATAGTCTTCTAGCAATTTTTTACACATGTATATTCATAAATGTGGGACCATGCAGTATAATTATTATTTAGTATGTTAATACTTTTCTAATTAAATATTTTCCTCAATTGTTTGTTTTTAAGATAAATATATAAAATAATTTATTTGAATCAGTCATTGGATTTTTAAAAAATTTTCACTTCTACCAACGGCTGTAAATATTCTCATATGTAATAATTATCACATGCATACATATAGGTACTGTTTGAGGGGAGTATTTTTTATATTTCTGTCCTTTATGTGTCCTTAGAAAACAAAATAAAGTTCTAGTAAAAAAAAAACCAACTATAAATTAATTAAATTAAGAGTTTAGTCACCTAAACTAAGGTCATGTGTTTGTGTGTATGCTTTTTCTCTAACCAGGTTGGCAACGTTACACAAATCACCAAGCCAGAAGGAATCTACAGTACTGTTCCAAATCACAGTTAGTATTATTTGATTAGAGTGGGATTTTGGTGTTGGTGGGCAGTAATTATGTGAAGAGATCATTTCCAAATTGCTTCTGTTAATTTCTGTAGGCAGCAAGCATATTTGAGGACAGCTTTTGATGCTTAGAACATTGTCCCCAAAATAGTAGTGTATACAGAATACTGTAGTCACAATTGGACTGAAATTTATTCTTAAGAGCAGAGGAAATACTTATTTTGGGGTAGTGTGTTCCGTGCCATATGTAATGTCAGGATATTAAAGATTTTTAAAGTGAAAGTTGTTGAAGATTTCCAGAAAAGAAAAAATACTAACATTACTCATTTTAGCCATAGACTTTATAGATCTATCGTAGCCACCAAATATAGCCCACTTTAAAATGTTAATTTTCCTGTGAATTTACATCATAGAACACACATTTTTGGTTGAAGTATGCATATTTATCAATATGTTGAGCCAAGTATATTCTTGGCATCCCATTTTCGTAAGTACAAAAACAGAAATGGAAAGGAATTCTGAAACTGAATTATGTACTTAGTCTTTGCACTGCCCAGGTGCATTTGAAATATCCTAGGGGGAAATTTTTATTTTAGGGTTATTATGAAAATGATTTATAGGCTAGGCATGGTGGTTCATGCCTAATCCCAGCTTTCTAAGAGGCCAAGGCAGGCAGATTGCCTGAGCTTACAAGTTTGAGACCAGCCTGAGCTAGAGCAAGACCACCTTCTCTAAAAATAGCCAAGCACTGTGGCAGGCACCTGTAGTCCCAGCTACTTGGGAGGCCAAGGCAAGACAATCACTTGAGCCCAAGAGTCTGAGGTTGCTGTGAGCTGTGACACCATGGCACTCTATCTGGGGGTGACAAAGTGAAACTGTCTCAAAAAAAGAAAGAAAAGAATTTATAAAGTACCTAAGAATTAGTAAGCATTACCTCCTTTCACCTCTTCCAGTAGAGCCATCATAAAGCTTGTTGGGTCCTTTAGAGAACATTTTTATAATGCAATGTTATTTTTCTGTGTGTGTATGGATATGTATAAATAAATATATAAAAAATACACTAATACAGCCCAGGCTTTGATACCTATCCACTAATCACTCGTAGTGGTTAATAAATTCTTTCTCAAGAACAAAGTAGCTTTCTTACCAGTTGCTTAAAAATATTTGGAAGACTAATCTTTGTTAAATGTTCTTAAAGTAAATTTGTGTGTGCATGAATGCATATATATTTTATTTATTTTTAATCTTGCAGCCTCAGGGATTTAGAGATGCTGTTGTTGCTGCTGCATGTTCATTTCAGACAGAAGGTTCATTGAATTCCCGGAAACGGTCTCGAGAAACAGAGGAAGAACAATAACCCAGAAACTAATCTCAATGTATGATGCTGTGAAATCACTGCATACAAGTAACAGACTCATTACTTTAAAATATAAACACACACCATGGCATGAATGAGTCAGGATTATCTGAAATGAGTGGGACAAATACTTAAGGAATATGATTTTCTGAAAAAGTTTTTCTAAAGCAATGTTCTACAATTATATTTTGACCTGTTCAGTTAACATTCAATAGATATAGCGTAGGTATTATATTTCATAAATGTGGAAAGTGAATGTCATATGGCAGTTTGAATTTAGCATTCATATTGTTTTTCCTCTTTCTTTGCCAATTGCCTAGAAAATCCTAAGAAGTAAAGATTTTTTTCATATTCTTACTGTGTTCTCTTTAAATATAATTCTAGCTCAGCAGCCGTAGCTCAGTGGTTAGGATGCCAGCCACATACACCGAGGCTGGCAGGTTCAACCTCAGCCCAGGCCTGCTAAACAACAGTGACCACCACAATGAAAAAATAGCCGGGCATTGTGGTGGGCACCTATAGTCCCAGCTGCTTGGGAGGTTGAGGCAAGAGAATCACTTAAGCCCGGGAGTTTGAAGTTGCTGTAAACTGTGATGCCTTGCGTCTACAAGGGCAACATAGTGAGACTGTGTCTAAATAAATAAACTCTAATAATTCTGAAAAATGACCTGTTTTTATTTTAAAGAGAAGCCAGCATGAATTAAGCCAGCATAATGAATATCATTATATTCATTTTTATGGGTAGTATACACATTTTAGATGACCAAACTTTTCAGGGACTTCAACTGTAAAATCTAAGCCATTTGTTTTTTTTGTTTGTTTGTTTGTTTTTGAGACAGAGCTTCAAGCTGTCCCCCTGGGTAGAGTGCCATGGCATAGCTCACAGCAACCTCCAACTCCTGG